TGGTGCGGCTGGGGGCCAGGGCGGGCAGGGCAGCAGAAACTGGCACAGTGGTTGCGGCACCGGCTGGGTCTGCAGCTCTGGCTCAGGCAACAGCGGCATTTGCTCCGGTGCTCTGACAGGAGCTCCTTCCCCTCTGGAGGTCAGCCCCAACTGAGCTGTTTCCCTGGCCTTTATACTGGACCCACAGTTGGAGCATGCCCAGCAAGGCCACAGGGGAGGGGCCTTCTCAGCCCAGCAGGCCAATTTACTCTCCCCTTGGCTAGTGGGGGGTTTATTCACCCTGTCACAGGTGGCAACACCCATACATGTCTCCCTGATCTCCCACACTAACATTACTCGCATGCAGCAGCTATGTTGGGAGTAGACATTCACAGTAGGGAAGTGTTCCCAGGAGAAATAATGCTTATAAATAGTAGTTGCTCTTGCAAGGTGCTGCTGCAAACAAGTATCTACACTACACGTTATGAAGCGATAAAGGTTAATTTATTTCCAAAATATAAACATTGACTGCATAGAAAAACACAGCCCCAAAATAACCTGCAATTAAACAAACTTTTGAAACAAAAACCATAGAAACCGGTAATTAGAAGAGTACAAAACATCTGTACCCACGTCAGTTCATTGCTGCCCGACATACCTGCCCTGTGAGAGCCGTGGTTGGTGCATGTGAAGCAGAGGTTTTCTTTACTGTCCCCAGTGTGGAGTGTTAGGGGTTGGATGTGGCCCTAAAGCCATGTAGAATGTGGAGGGCTGTAGGGAGCTGCTGAAATGGAATTCTCCGTTGACCACAAAGAGAAGTGAGCTCTGTTGGATCAGCTGGTCAGCAAGACTCTGCAGCATCTGGGTTTGCTGCCTGAGAAGCCCCATTATGTCCTGTTACATCTCCCTCTCCTACAGTTTGGCCAGGAGAGAGGCCCAGGAGTCCCATCTGTCCTTGTCCAGACTCCCGGCCAATCTGTCATGCCATGCTCCAGGCCTTCTGTGAATAGCCCAATGCAGCACTGGCTACCCGGCTCTCAACGACCATGTTCTCGCTAGTCTCCTCCTTTCTCCTCATTAGGCCAGGAACGTGAAGGAAGCACCCCTCAAGGCCTCAATAGTACCAGCTCCAGATAAACCAGACAGCTGTATTACCAGTTTTGCCATCATACCCAGCAGCAAAAGATAGGATTCACAACTCCCTGCCCTTACTCATTTGCAGTCAGACACTTGTTGACACTTCAGCCATTGGACATCATGGCACAGCACCACCAGAGACAAGGAGAGGGCAGTAAATGAGGAGGGATTGTGCATAAAATAACTTTTTCGGCCCTTAGTTCTACCAGTACACATACAGGGCATTGGTGCTGGTGCTTATCATAGAGTGGCCTGGGAAAGGGTTCCACTGTGGCAGGTTGCTGAGTGTCTCCATGGAAGCGTCATCAAACTCTCTCAGCAGGATACAAGGGACATCACTATGTGCATAAATCAACTGCTGCGAATGCCACCCACCTGCTTAGTTCTGCAAGGAACAGCTAATAACTCTACCTGTTCGTTATATCGCTATATCTGCTCCGACACATAAAACAAAAAGAAGAAGTAGATGCCCATGGCCTGCTCACATGGGGATGAGCCAGGTGCTATCTTCACACTGACACACTACAAGGCAGAATTTACACACCCCTTTACCTGAAGTGCCCCTGCATTTGCTTGGCTGGTACCAGTAATTGATACATCTACACACACCATCCCAGAAGAGGAATCTGCCGCCCCATCAGAAAGAATGTCCGGCCCTACGGATTTAGTTACCTCCACCTCACAGGTGCAAATTAAGCTTTGGACCCCGTGGGAATGGGTGTCACAAAGACATTCCAATTTAATTGGCATTTTAATGACAACAGAAGCATCTGCGTGACCACAGGGGTATAAAGTGGGGCCCTGTGCCCCACTCTAATTGGAGATCCACCCATATACCTGCTGGTCAGGTGGTCTTGGACCCCCAAGACTTTAGGGACACCTTCATCTCGTATCGACTGCTTCCCACTGGGATTGAGAGAAACGCTGGCTTCGCCGGTGTAAAGATCGCAGGGGTGAGAATATACCTGCTAGGTGTGTGTCTGTGCGCATTCAATAAGAACTCAGGGAACCAAATGGTTCCATGGTACCTTTAAGTGACTGTTATTGTATTGTCTTTGTAGTAACTGTGTTATCTGTAACACAGCAGTAACATTTAATAGCTAAGTGTGCCTTGTAACAATAAAATAATAACTGTTTAAACTTTAACCTGACTCCTCCTGTTGCTATAACAGAAGGAAACACAATCAAAAAGAACCATAGGCAATCAGGGATAAATGCAGTAAGAACTGAGCGTTGAGTCATGCCACCTCCATGGGGCAGACTCTTGGGGCGCCCGTCAGTCTCCCTGGCTGCCCGCTGCAAAGGGACTTTGTCCTAGCAGTTAAAGACTCAGGTGTATCTTTGGGGCGCCCATCAGCCTCCTTGGCTGCCTGCTGAGAAGGGACTCTGTCCTAGCAGTCAAAGACTCGAGTGTGATAGGGCTCACAGACCACTCACTACCCCAGCCACCGGCTAACACCCTCCCCGGCAGCGGCTCTGCCAGTAAATTTTTTAGAGGGGTAATACTTTCCTTGCAGAGCCACAGTGGAGGTAACTCTCAGGACCGGGCGCAAGCTGTGCTTGAGCCAGACTGTCTGCCCACTAGTTCCTAATACACTTTCCCTGCAGAGCCACGACTACATGATTAACAAAATAATATGCTTCTTAACATCCGTACTGAATACTGCCAATTGGAACCTTCCCCTACTGAGCCACACCTCTAGCCCTGCTTGCTGAAGCCCTTGAAGGCAGGTTTCCCAGATCCACAGTGCACAATTCATACTTTGGGATTAACCCTTTTCTGCCCACACTGTAGCCAGATGCAGCTGGGTTATGTGGGTGGCCAGCAGCAGCCTGGAGGGGTTAGCTGCCATTATACCCAGTGCAGCCAGGACGTGACAAGCTGCACCAAGTGGGGGTGTGAGAGGGACAGCTGGGGAGTGGGAAAGCGAACAGATGAGCTTTGCAAAGACAAGGGCCAGGAATCATTTCCACTTTCTCTAAAGCTGGAAGCAGCTTCTGCCCCCTTCCCTTCCCACCCAATGCTAAAAGGCTGCTGCTGGCCACATTTTGGGGTGAAGCATGGCAGAAATTGGAGCTTGTGGGGAATGTGACCCTGCATGCCTCCCCTGCATTTTGCCTCAGGAAGTTGCAGCACCATGTATCAGAAGAGGCAGATCTGTCCCTCAGGCCAGCTGGGCATGGAGGCCAGTAGAGAGCACAGGGCAGGGTGCGACAGGCCAGTTGATCAACCTCATGTTTGAAAGGGGTGTATGGGAGTGTGTGTGTCATCCCTCCATAGGAGGAGGGTTAAGGTCTGTGTGTGACCTCTTTTCATGGGGTGGAAAACCCAGCCCCCTGGGAGGCTGGGCAGGGATGCCTCTTAGGCATCTATAGCCTCTACCAGCAGGGTGGTACAGCTCAGCAACCTAGTTAATAATGATCCTCCAATCAGTGGGCCGGGACGGCTCAGCAGTCTAGTCTATAATGAGCCCAGTCAACGGGGCGGTAAAGCCCAGTGGCCAGATCAGTATTGCAATTCTGGCACACCCCCTTTTGGGGATTAATGGAGGTGGAGTACAGGGACCGAGCCCTCCCTCTCCAAGCTCCAGGAAGAAAGTCTGATGAAACTCAAGAGGTTTGTCAGCCCAGCCCAGCCAGAAAGAATAAGAAGTTTCTTCTGCAAACTGAAGGAGAGATCTAGGGGATGTTTATGGAGGGCGGTGGATAGTGGGAGCAAGGTGGCACCCACCACACTGGTCTCTGTGGAAAACATGAAGAAACTGAGGGTACTGAAAGAGTGGGTGAGATGTCCACCATTCTGTCTTGTGTTATGGGGAATAAATAGCAACATGGAAGATCTAAGGCAGGGGGGCAGGTACATCTCCCCATTACTGCTGGTCAGTGATGGCCTTCTCCTAAAGTCCCATGCCGTGCCTCCAGAGTCTCATGCTTTGCATCACTACTGATAGGCTTCTGTCCTGTAGCTCATCAGATTGGCACTTTGGACACCACTCGGGGTATTGACCAGCCAGAAAAGGTGTCTGAAGAGAAGCACGGAGAGCTTCACTCTTCAGACTAACTTGAGGACTGTGCTAAGATGACAGCCTAAATCACAAGCCCATGTATCAGAGGTCTGTGTGAGGCCTGAGGCCTAGACAACAATGGCCAAGGCTTTGCTAATATAAAGCAAAGTTAAGCTGTGAGCACAGTAGAACTTGGCAAGAACAGGACTGAGATTACAGAAACATTCATATCTCAGAGGTAGTAGGCACAGGCCTTAAGAACATTCCAGAGGCATAACAACATCACCTCATATTAGGAAACATCTTGGTACCACCACACACCCCACAGATAACAGGAACATGCTGACCCAGATTCAGGATAAGGTCTAGCATGATGGATAGCAATGTTTTGATTGACCCCACCATGAACTAAGCTGAATCCATTGTCATGGGCACACATTTTCAGTATCCTCAGAGTCTACCAGGTGCTATTCCTGTACTTTGTTTACAACAAAATATGACCTGGTTCCTTTGTCCCTCACCTGATTTTGTGATCTTTGAGGGTTTGTCTCAGAGTCTGCCTTGCTGGCTATCTGCAGCTCCCAGGAGAAGCACAAGTACACAGCCTAACAGTTATCACCATTGCACAGAACAAGATACTGGTCAGGACACCACTCTGACTACTGACCACAAGAGGCATCCCTACACACCCTGCTCCCTGCAGAGAGGACAGGGGTTGAGGAAAGAAGAGGAAACTAACTTATTCCTGTAGGTCAGTAGCAACTGGAAGGAGCTCCTGGAGCTGGCAAGCTATGCTGGCTAACTCTGACATAGCTCATGCAACTTTGATGAACTAACTTTAAATATGTCACCTGAGTGCATTGAGGGGACAGTTTGTATTTTCACGGCACTACAGTTATTGAGTTTCAGAGTTTTGAGAAAAGATGAGCCCACTCTGGCCTAAATATCTGAACAATTGTTTGGTTTATAAGTTCAAGGGACACTTCTTAATATTCCCAGCACTCTCAGAAAATTAAGGCATTTCAAATATTGCTTCCCATTTTTAATTTTTGAAACAGCAACACAGCTGTGTGAGTTTAAGATCCCATAAAAGGTAAATATTGGACACAGCCTGTCTATAGGGTCATTTGCTGCAAGTTCAGATTTCTAAGAAACTCCATGGTAGTAATAGCACTGGTTCATTGTTCTCAGTCATACCTCTTAAAGTTAAACTAATGCAAACTTTCTGGGCCTCAAATATCCTTGGGAACATGCTCAACACTTTGCTGCAGGGTCTCACATTTCCTCATGATGTCACAGTGCTTGGTGTGGTGCCCACAGAGCAGAAACAAACCAATGAATGTCCAAATGTTCTTACTGCTGGCGGTGATCATTGTTGGGATATTTGTGTGGTTTAGGGTTTCTCAGAATCAAGTTAACAACCTCCTGGTCACTTCTCTAGCAGAGGGGAGATTATTGGCATTTTCATTCTGGAGCAGACTATGGGCCAGATTCCGGCTCCCACGATGGCAGCGCAGAGGCGCCGAAGCTTCCTGTACTCTTTTTAGGGATATTCTCTGCCATGTAGCTTGTACATCCTTTGTCCCAAACACATAGAAAGCACTTGGGGTCCCATGTCCATAAACTTATCCTGAAATATCCTGTTGACTCAAAGACACAACCCCTGGCTTCTCTCAATGGGTTCATTGTACAGCTGATTGTCCTTGATGAGCCATCAAGGAGGCTGGATAGCACCGATGCCAATCTGTCTATGGGTGTCACCCAGATACACTGCACAAGTCTGGGACAACAGTAAACCAAAAAGATGACACATACATATGAACCAGCATATCACATGTAGCAAATCATGCCTTTTCTACCAATACTTTACCTAGCATATCTGATAGAATATTCACTAGTGTTTTGTAATATTGGTCCTGATAATTTTATAAATGATGATTCATAGTACATTCAGCACCACAAATGCCTATGACAAATAGATTCATGAGCTACTAATCACTTATACTGCTTGAGTGCTACCATCAACCACCTGCAATTATCTTTATATACAAATTCATGGCCTTTTTCTCCATACTGTATCAGTTTCATTAAGGTTCATTTGCAAATCATAAGGATAGTTGAACAAGGCAAAATCCATCTTGTACATCTCCTTGATCTTTTGGATTTGCTCCGAGCTCAGCTTTCTGAGATATGCCAAGGTGATATCATCACTCGTACGTTTCTCTGAGCTATATTTCTTAAAGTTCGGATAATGCATATCCTCTGGGGCACCAATGTTCCTAAGAACACGTTCAGAATCTTGCACTACGGTCTCAAACTTCCCCATGATGTCATAATGAATGTCGCAAGGATCACAGAGTAGAAACATTGGTCTCCAATGAATGTCTAATTTTTCTTGGTTTTGTGTCAGAATAAAATTAACAAACTCCTGGAAAGTGACCCTTTCAGTTGAATTTTTGTTTTTCCTGAACATGGCCTTGATCTCATTTGCAACAGTGATACTATAGTATGGCTCAGAATGCAGAAGCTTGTCTCTGTAAGCTGAAATCAACCGTTCCAGGGGATCTCTGGTGAACATCACTTTGGTGTAACTGGTCAGTAATTTCTCCTGGTAGTCAGAAGAGTAAGAACTCAGCCTCTTTATCAGTGAGGTTTTATGGATGAGATCATCATGGACTTCATTAATCTCTCTGCTCAGGTTCATTGTGAGGAGGAGGATGATTTTCTTCCAATTGGTGCAGCCGACCTTGGGCACCTCACAATAGATGAACTTGTGGTTATGCTCCACAAAGATCTGTCTTGCAACGTCATGTGGCAGTTTGCTTTGTGAATATGAGAGGTTGTTCATCAGGCACGTAGAGTTCAATATGTCTTTGCGATAGACTTGTCTCATCAGCCAATCCTCCTTCGGATCTGGAAAAGAAGATGTGTTTAAGAAAGCAACATAAACCATCAGTGTAAAGTAATTTAGCAGAATTCTCTTTTCATTCCTAAAACCACAGAACTGAAATTAACCCCCTGAGGAACTAACATTGCTGTTTAGGATTAACACAAATCTCTAGTTCACTGTCAATTGTCTACTCTATTACAGATGCACAACACAAGCTACTGTGATTATTAGAAGACTTGTGACAAGGAGAACCTGGGAAATGAACGACAGGAAGATTGTTTTTAGGAAAGTATCTGAAGATGCACAGCAGAATTTAATTGGCAAATGTTGCTTTTTTGACGGTCTCTTTATATGTGCCAGGATAACTACGAACCTGTCATGCATGCCCTCATATTTTGTCAGTATTATTTGTACTATCTATTTATGAGGAGTCCTGAGGCACCATAGAAACGAACAGATAAGCCTTTGTGAGTAAAACACAGTTCATCAGATGAATTGAAGTGGAAATTACAGAGGCAGGGGTATATATATAAAAGTACAACAAAAGAAAGAAGTTACTTGTCAAGTGTAGGACAAGTGTTAATGAGGCTAATCAAGTCAAGATGGAAGTGGCTCGTTCACAGCAACTAATGGGGAGATGTGAATATCAGCTGCCATGGAAGAGCTATATCAACCATGACCTGATTAACCTCATTAACACTTGTCCTACACTTGACAAGTAACTTCTTTCTTTTGTTGTACTTTTATATATATACACCCCTGCCTCTGTAATTTCCACTCCAATTCATATGACAAAGTGGGTTTTACCCAGGAAATCTTATGTCCCAATAAATCTCTTTGTTTCTATGGTGCCACAGGACTCCTTGTTTTTGCAGCTACAGACTAACATGGCTATTCCAATGAGACTTTATGTGTTTATGATTGCACCCTGGAAGTGCTTCAAGTTTTTCCTACTCTCAAAAAAAATTATGGTCTCTGTTCCAAGAACAACAAAATCCTTCTATTGATATATTCTTTACTTACACATTTTTATTTGATGCCTGTAGAACATGCCAGAAAGAAGACTTCCAAGAATGAAAATTAGGAGAATGAACACCTTCTTGAGCCTCTTATGCACCATCTTTTCCCAGGAAGGAGCAGGATGTGGTTTTTGTGCATTAAATCCCTTTCCCTAGCTACAAAAAAATGGGAGAAGGTTAATTGTTGTAGGAATTTTGCTACAAAAATATCATATGCTACAGAGAGCATAAGAGAGTCAGTGAGGTGCAGGAATGTGCTGTAGAGTGGTTATTTATTCTAACCAATGTATATTATAAGTGTTATATATTTTCTGTGACAAAAATACCTCATGAGTTGGTGTTACAGGTCCTACCTCCCCTCCATATGGCCCAGGCCTACCCATCCTAAAGTACATCTGGTCCACATCCCCTCACACCTCCTGTATAGTGAATGCAGTGCTGAAACATTCTGGAAAAGGTTACTTCCTGTTCCCTGCTCTGGGCTGCTTCCTACCCTGTGCCCCTGGATGGCGTAGGCTCCATCTGTGCGTGTAAACCCGTCTGTGGTAGTGGTGCTAGCTGGCACGGCATTTTTGGTATCTGGCGTGGTAGCGGTAGCTGGTGCGGCTGCAGGCCAGGGCTGGCAGGGCAGCAGAAACTGGCACAGTGGTTGCGGCACCGGCTGGGTCTGCAGCTCTGGCTCAGGCAACAGCGGCATTTGCTCCGGTGCTCTGACAGGAGCTCCTTCCCCTCTGGAGGTCAGCCCCAACTGAGCTGTTTCCCTGGCCTTTATACTGGACCCACAGTTGGAGCATGCCCAGCAAGGCCACAGGGGAGGGGCCTTCTCAGCCCAGCAGGCCAATTTACTCTCCCCTTGGCTAGTGGGGGGTTTATTCACCCTGTCACAGGTGGCAACACCCATACATGTCTCCCTGATCTCCCACACTAACATTACTCGCATGCAGCAGCTATGTTGGGAGTAGACATTCACAGTAGGGAAGTGTTCCCAGGAGAAATAATGCTTATAAATAGTAGTTGCTCTTGCAAGGTGCTGCTGCAAACAAGTATCTACACTACACGTTATGAAGCGATAAAGGTTAATTTATTTCCAAAATATAAACATTGACTGCATAGAAAAACACAGCCCCAAAATAACCTGCAATTAAACAAACTTTTGAAACAAAAACCATAGAAACCGGTAATTAGAAGAGTACAAAACATCTGTACCCACGTCAGTTCATTGCTGCCCGACATACCTGCCCTGTGAGAGCCGTGGTTGGTGCATGTGAAGCAGAGGTTTTCTTTACTGTCCCCAGTGTGGAGTGTTAGGGGTTGGATGTGGCCCTAAAGCCATGTAGAATGTGGAGGGCTGTAGGGAGCTGCTGAAATGGAATTCTCCGTTGACCACAAAGAGAAGTGAGCTCTGTTGGATCAGCTGGTCAGCAAGACTCTGCAGCATCTGGGTTTGCTGCCTGAGAAGCCCCATTATGTCCTGTTACATCTCCCTCTCCTACAGTTTGGCCAGGAGAGAGGCCCAGGAGTCCCATCTGTCCTTGTCCAGACTCCCGGCCAATCTGTCATGCCATGCTCCAGGCCTTCTGTGAATAGCCCAATGCAGCACTGGCTACCCGGCTCTCAACGACCATGTTCTCGCTAGTCTCCTCCTTTCTCCTCATTAGGCCAGGAACGTGAAGGAAGCACCCCTCAAGGCCTCAATAGTACCAGCTCCAGATAAACCAGACAGCTGTATTACCAGTTTTGCCATCATACCCAGCAGCAAAAGATAGGATTCACAACTCCCTGCCCTTACTCATTTGCAGTCAGACACTTGTTGACACTTCAGCCATTGGACATCATGGCACAGCACCACCAGAGACAAGGAGAGGGCAGTAAATGAGGAGGGATTGTGCATAAAATAACTTTTTCGGCCCTTAGTTCTACCAGTACACATACAGGGCATTGGTGCTGGTGCTTATCATAGAGTGGCCTGGGAAAGGGTTCCACTGTGGCAGGTTGCTGAGTGTCTCCATGGAAGCGTCATCAAACTCTCTCAGCAGGATACAAGGGACATCACTATGTGCATAAATCAACTGCTGCGAATGCCACCCACCTGCTTAGTTCTGCAAGGAACAGCTAATAACTCTACCTGTTCGTTATATCGCTATATCTGCTCCGACACATAAAACAAAAAGAAGAAGTAGATGCCCATGGCCTGCTCACATGGGGATGAGCCAGGTGCTATCTTCACACTGACACACTACAAGGCAGAATTTACACACCCCTTTACCTGAAGTGCCCCTGCATTTGCTTGGCTGGTACCAGTAATTGATACATCTACACACACCATCCCAGAAGAGGAATCTGCCGCCCCATCAGAAAGAATGTCCGGCCCTACGGATTTAGTTACCTCCACCTCACAGGTGCAAATTAAGCTTTGGACCCCGTGGGAATGGGTGTCACAAAGACATTCCAATTTAATTGGCATTTTAATGACAACAGAAGCATCTGCGTGACCACAGGGGTATAAAGTGGGGCCCTGTGCCCCACTCTAATTGGAGATCCACCCATATACCTGCTGGTCAGGTGGTCTTGGACCCCCAAGACTTTAGGGACACCTTCATCTCGTATCGACTGCTTCCCACTGGGATTGAGAGAAACGCTGGCTTCGCCGGTGTAAAGATCGCAGGGGTGAGAATATACCTGCTAGGTGTGTGTCTGTGCGCATTCAATAAGAACTCAGGGAACCAAATGGTTCCATGGTACCTTTAAGTGACTGTTATTGTATTGTCTTTGTAGTAACTGTGTTATCTGTAACACAGCAGTAACATTTAATAGCTAAGTGTGCCTTGTAACAATAAAATAATAACTGTTTAAACTTTAACCTGACTCCTCCTGTTGCTATAACAGAACCAAACACAATCAAAAAGAACCATAGACGATCAGGGATAAATGCAGTAAGAACTGAGCGTTGAGTCATGCCACCTCCATGGGGCAGACTCTTGGGGCGCCCGTCAGTCTCCCTGGCTGCCCGCTGCAAAGGGACTTTGTCCTAGCAGTTAAAGACTCAGGTGTATCTTTGGGGCGCCCATCAGCCTCCTTGGCTGCCTGCTGAGAAGGGACTCTGTCCTAGCAGTCAAAGACTCGAGTGTGATAGGGCTCACAGACCACTCACTACCCCAGCCACCGGCTAACACCCTCCCCGGCAGCGGCTCTGCCAGTAAATTTTTTAGAGGGGTAATACTTTCCTTGCAGAGCCACAGTGGAGGTAACTCTCAGGACCGGGCGCAAGCTGTGCTTGAGCCAGACTGTCTGCCCACTAGTTCCTAATACACTTTCCCTGCAGAGCCACGACTACATGATTAACAAAATAATATGCTTCTTAACATCCGTACTGAATACTGCCAATTGGAACCTTCCCCTACTGAGCCACACCTCTAGCCCTGCTTGCTGAAGCCCTTGAAGGCAGGTTTCCCAGATCCACAGTGCACAATTCATACTTTGGGATTAACCCTTTTCTGCCCACACTGTAGCCAGATGCAGCTGGGTTATGTGGGTGGCCAGCAGCAGCCTGGAGGGGTTAGCTGCCATTATACCCAGTGCAGCCAGGACGTGACAAGCTGCACCAAGTGGGGGTGTGAGAGGGACAGCTGGGGAGTGGGAAAGCGAACAGATGAGCTTTGCAAAGACAAGGGCCAGGAATCATTTCCACTTTCTCTAAAGCTGGAAGCAGCTTCTGCCCCCTTCCCTTCCCACCCAATGCTAAAAGGCTGCTGCTGGCCACATTTTGGGGTGAAGCATGGCAGAAATTGGAGCTTGTGGGGAATGTGACCCTGCATGCCTCCCCTGCATTTTGCCTCAGGAAGTTGCAGCACCATGTATCAGAAGAGGCAGATCTGTCCCTCAGGCCAGCTGGGCATGGAGGCCAGTAGAGAGCACAGGGCAGGGTGCGACAGGCCAGTTGATCAACCTCATGTTTGAAAGGGGTGTATGGGAGTGTGTGTGTCATCCCTCCATAGGAGGAGGGTTAAGGTCTGTGTGTGACCTCTTTTCATGGGGTGGAAAACCCAGCCCCCTGGGAGGCTGGGCAGGGATGCCTCTTAGGCATCTATAGCCTCTACCAGCAGGGTGGTACAGCTCAGCAACCTAGTTAATAATGATCCTCCAATCAGTGGGCCGGGACGGCTCAGCAGTCTAGTCTATAATGAGCCCAGTCAACGGGGCGGTAAAGCCCAGTGGCCAGATCAGTATTGCAATTCTGGCACACCCCCTTTTGGGGATTAATGGAGGTGGAGTACAGGGACCGAGCCCTCCCTCTCCAAGCTCCAGGAAGAAAGTCTGATGAAACTCAAGAGGTTTGTCAGCCCAGCCCAGCCACCCCTTTACCTGAAGTGCCCCTGCATTTGGCTCCTCTGCTCTCTATTGGCGGGACAGGGTTCATCTGTGATGGGCTCTCAAAAAGATCCTGGCTCGTTTCAGAGTTGGACTTTGCTGATGTTTCCCTTTCTGTTCTTCCTGAGCCTCCTCACTCTGCATGTCAGAGGTCCGTGTCTCAGGCTCCTCAGAGGCATCCATCCTCTGTGGGGTGCTGGTGGGGTCTGGGCAAAGCCTGGTGTGCAGCCCCTTGCAAAAACAGCGCTCTACAGCTCAGCATTGATGGCTGGCCTCCCTGGACTTGTGGCATGGCTCCCTGGCTTTCCCCTGGCGTTGCTGCTGATCTCTGTCCTACCCCCCTGTGTGCATCCCACATGCAGTCTGTGCTGATGTCCTCATTTCTACAAGGGATCCCCCTCACTGTGCCTGAACAGCCTCTTCTCCCCACCAGCCCAGAGAGCCAGTTCTCCTGTCTACTCCAGGAAGCAGCATGTCTAGAGCTTGGAGCCAGCATGGCTGGGCAGTTGCACACACAACCATTCTGCCAGGTGGAGTCAGCAATAGGGGCTGGGGTCATATCTATGGGTTCCTCTGAACAATACAGAGCAGCACCAGCTTGAGCCCCCATGAAGTAACCTGGAAAATTAACCACTCCCCGGCATCTCTAGGAGGCAACATTCATATCTGCCAACGGGGGAAAATGACCTGCACCCTTTTAATCATCGCCAGCACCCTGCACGGCATGCTGCAGACCCCCAAATGGCAGGGTCTGGGCAGCCCTGAGGGTGGGTAGAAGCACACAATGG